CTGGCGCCGCGGTCCGCCCCGTTCGGCGGGCGGCTGCAAGGACAGCGGGGGGCTCAGGTCTGGGTCTCGCAGGGCCCACCAGCTCCGCAGCTCGGGCGCGTCTTCGGAGAGCCAGGACGTCAGGGCCACCAGACCGGCCCTGAGGGTCTGAAGACGCTCACAGAGCCCAAATTCTGTGGCGGACCGTGTCAGGGAGAGCACGCCCTTGAGCGCCCACGCGCCGAGGCAGCGCCCCTGCGCTGCGGGGCCCGGGGAGCGGGCCTCTCCCGACAGCGGAGCTCTGGACACTTCGTCTGGTCCTGCATCCTGGAGACGCCTGGCGTCTGACCTCGTGGAGTGAGCGCTCCAACATTTCAGCTTCTCCAGTAGTTCTGTCTCTAAACCTTCCTGGTGGGGGGCGCCTGGGGGGCTCGGTCGGTGAAGCGCTGCCTCCGGCTCAGGTCGTGGCCCCGGAGTCCCGGGATCGAGTCCCGCGTCGGGCTCCCTGCTCGGCGGGGACTCAGCTTCTCCCTCTGACCCTACCCCCACTTGTGCTCTCTCTCTCTCTTAAATAAAAAAGAATCTTTGATAAAATAAATAAACCTTCCTGGTGGCCGGCACACCACCTCCATCACGTGATACGCGCCTCTGCGCAATTAGAAAGCAGCTGCCGTGCGCCCGCCGACTTCTGTGTACTGGAGAGCAAAGGGCCGTTCAACCGGACGGTGAAAACAACCTGATGTGGCTGTGATGGGGACGAGGCCCGGTGACAGAAAGAAACTTCCGGGTGGTGCCCGCAAAGTGCAGGGACACTCACATCTTCAAACCAGGCAGCACGTCACGGCCCAGTCCCACCGCCACGATGTGATGGACCCATGAGATGGAAGCTGTGGATGGCACCACGCGCCATCCAGAGTCCCGGGTCACTTGAAGCCGTGGACGCCCCGGGACCACAGTCAGCACAGCCTGGGTGGCTCCGTGACGGACAGGGGCCGTAGCGTTGTGCTCCACCCTGGCTCCTCCGGCCCTGACCCGGGACCAAAGCGCTCCCTGGCCTGGATGGACATGCTTGGGAAAGATGCCAAGGGCAGGTGGGCACGGCCGCCCACCCGCAGGGAGCGCTCCGACCTGTCGACCCACGAGCACTCGCAGCCGGAGGACGGAGTGGGCAGCCAGGCTGGGGATGCGGACAAGGTGGGGGCGGGGCGGGGCTACCTGAGCAGGCACTTGAGAGAGCGGCCGCAGATGTGCCGGTGGCATCTGGAGGGGCTTCAGCTGAGCAGGGGCCAGCACCCGGGACGTTGGAGCGAGGTAGGGAGGCAGGTGGGGGGGCACCGGCTGGAGAGGGCCCACGGACGGTGCGGCCAGGACAGGCGGCAGGGGCGCCGGCTGGGCCAGCGGAGGAGGCTGGGGAGAGAGGGGGCTTCTCTTAGACCCACGTCCTGCTGAGACACCCCCCACCACGTGCTTAGACACGACCGAGAAAATCGACTCCCACACACACATGCACACACACACACACCCAGCCTGGAGCCCGACACACGCAGATCTGGGGGAAATACTCCGCGTAAGTGGTGCCCCTCCAAGTGCTATGGATCCAGGAACCCCCACTCCCACCTGCACCCCAGGCCCCAGGGAACCGCAGAGAAGGAGCAAAGGGGGCCCAGGCCCACCTGAGACCCACAGGCCCTGAGCCAGCAGACCTCGCTGCCCACCCACACCGGGCTGGAAAGACTGAGGGACCCATGGGTGGGGCCAAGCAGGGGCAGCCCACACTCACCTGGTGGCCAGGGGGCGCAGGCTGGCCTGGGCCCGTCGGCACGGGGGCAAAGCTTATGGCCGGCTCTGGGAAATGCTGCTGTGGGAGCGGAGGGTGGGCTGGGGGCGGGATGGAGCCCACCGGCAGGCCAGGCTGCAGAGAGCACGGATGACCACGCTCACCAGCTGCCCGGAGGCCCCCACCTGGCTTGCACGCCACAGCTCCTGGGCCCCGTCCCTCACTCCCTGAGCCTGTCACCCTAGCTGGGACTTTTCCCTAGGCCCAAAGCTTGGCACAGGTGAGATGTGGCAGCCCCTAAGCTGAGAATGGCCACTGCTCCTAACCAAGGAATGTTCTGGAACTTCAGCTCCACAGGATATTATGCAACTGTGAGAAAAGAACATCCTAAGGGGCTTTGCAGAACCAGGGAGAGACACCGTTCCAACGTGTGGTGGGAGAAAGATACAGACGCACTTGCTTTCCGTCTACAGGACCGGATGAAACACATGCACACAGATACGTCACAAACAGGATTCGGAAGGACAATGGGGGATGGCGGCGGGATCCCCAGTGGTGTGGCCACCAGGAGAAACGGGCCGCGGGCCTGAGTCCTCACTGCCAGCAGCAGCCCAGACACGGCCCAGGAAAGAGCCCGAAATCTGAGCACTGGGTGTTGGATGCTATCAAGGAACAGCTGCTAATGTGTTCACTTTTAGGTGTAATAAGGTGGTCGGAGTCTGTTTTCAAGAATCTCGATCCCACAGAGATACGGACTGAAATCCTTACAGGCAAAACGTCTTTCTGGGGTTTCCTTAGAAATACTGGGGCTGTGGAGGAAGCAGGTGTGAACACGGGGAGGGCGTGTGAGGCGGAGGGCCCAGGCCTCCACACCGACCCGAAAGGTCCTCTGGTTTTCTGGGGACTGGGACCTTCCACTCACTGCATCCTCCACAGTAAATGCTCCGCGAGAGCAGCATAAAGAGGGACGTTTATCTGAAGCCACAGTGCAGAATGAGCCGCGGTCCCGGGCCCAGCGGGAGGCAGCAGCTTCGGTGCCCGGAGGCCTCAGAGTGGCTGGTGCGCAGACTCCTCCATCAGCCCCAGGGAGGGGGGGGGCATCACCAGGGCAACCCTCCTGGAGGCCCTGATGCACCCCGGGGACCCCCACGCCCCCCGCCTGTCCCAGGGGACTGTCCGCAAACAGGCAGGGACACGGGACAGAGTGCTCTGGCCTCGCCTGTGTGGGGTGCATCCGGCCCGGCGCCACGAGGGCCTGCGTGGAGGGTAACGGTGGCCAGGGAAGCCCGACCCTGCACCTAGGAGGGAGGGGGCCAGCGGAACATTCCTGCTCCGCCCCGGGACTGGCCGCCCAAGGCCAAGCCGCCCCACTCCGGGGCGACAATCCGCCTTTTCCTAAACAAGTTCCTCCTGCCGTTTAAAATCTGTGTCACTTCATCTCAAGAAACTAGCAAAGCAACAAACGGCAGCTGGACATGAGTCTGGGCTCCCGGCAGCGAAGGCAAAGGCGCTGGCCGCCCCAGGGGACAGGGACGGAGCCCAGGCAGCACCAGGACGGCGGGGGCCTGGGGCCCAACTGTCCCTCCAGACCCTCCCCCGCCCACTCAAGGCCGGCGCTCTGCAGCTGGCCTCCTGGGACTGGGAAGCCAGGGCCCTATCTGCTTCCTCCAGCATGAACAGAAGCGCTGAAGAACGAACACCACACGTGACCCCCTGGCCTAGCTACGCCCGGGTCGCCGTCGGGCCAGGTCTCCACATCACAAACCACCCCCCAGGTTTCTCCAATGTCACTGCACTTTTTCCGCGATCCTGCCACTCTCCCACTTCTAACATTCGATGGCCGCGTGGTATCTGGTGGAGAACGGCCAGGAGCTACTGAACTCAGCGGGGTGGACACGGGCTGGACGCTCCTCTGGGACCCCAGCCCGGCCGCAGGGCGAGATCCTGCCAGGTCCGTCACAGTTCTGAGGCCCCGGCTGTCCCTGGGCTCTGCGTTTGTACTCTCTCACCTGCTGCACCCTCCAGTGACCTTCGAGGGCGGCCCGCCCGGGGGGCCTGACCACAGGCCGCTGCAGCCTGGACGGCCCGGGGGACACGGGGCCACGGGGACAGGGTCTCTGCCCGAGGGGGTGGGCTGACTCACCGTGGCAGGCTGCTGGTAGGTCCCCAGAGAGGGCAGGCTGTAGGGCAGGACTGGGCCGTCGCTGACGCTCACGCTCACCGGGGGGCTGCACACACACTGGGTGGGGGGCGGTGCCGCATCTGCCAGAGAGCCCAGCACCACACTCTGCTGGCTGCTTTGTGAGTCCGAGTACACCGTGGAGCCCTGGCCACTGTCGAAGGTGCTGTCCGCTGGGGAGGACAAGGGCACGGCTCAGAGTGGACATCCCCAAACATCAGCCCCACGGCACTCCACCCAAGTCTCAGGGAGCGCGAACAGGCTCAGACACGATGCTCTGCTGGTCCCTGTGCTCTTCTGCAAACTAGGCTTGGTCGCGCTCCCTGGTCACCTGAGTCCTAAGTGCATGTCATTCTGGACCACAGACCCTAGGATGCAGGGGGCGGGGGCTGTAACGCCCCACCCCAACACCACCTGGCGTCTGGGGGTCACCCACATGGGTGCCACGAATCCCGGGTGGGCCCCTTACACAATCCTCGGCAGGAAGCACAGTCACGTCCACCCCGGCTGCAGACAGGGACCTCACCTGTCCCCTGACCGGGCCTTGAGAATGAGAGCTCAGTGAGCTCTTCAAAGGCATGAGGGGTCTCCTGTAGGAGGCTGATGGCAGGCATGCCCAAGTCAGGAGAAGCTAGAGTCACCTGTATTTCATGGGGAGGGACTCTGACCAGTTTCACCACCACAGCAAGGAGCCCGAAGCAGGAAGAGCTGGGTCCAAACCCAGTCCTCATGACACGGGCCTGGGTCTAACCTGGCTGGAGAACGAGGCTGACGAGGCCCCCACCCCGCAGAGAGGCTGACAGGGGGACCCAGAGGCTCTCCGGCCCGAGGAGGCCTCCCAGAGGCCAGCCTCCCCTGCACCTGCGGTCACAGTCCATCAGCGCGGGCCACCGTGGACAGAGCCACCCACCACACACGAGGCACAGCCCGCAGCCACAGGCTCGCCTCCCCAAGACGCACCTAGGAAGACAAACCGCCCCCGAGGCCAGGCCAGTGAGCAGGGAAAGCAGAGCCCTGCATGAAATGGCACTTCCAGAAGCTGCACGCACACCAAGACTTGCCACCCACGCACCGAGCACTTCAACGCGGGCGCCTTCCAGGGCGCCAGCATCGCGCCCATTTGTGATTCAAGCAAATGGAGTAAAAGGGAATCCCACTGGCTTTACATCAAAATAATCTGTCCCAGGGGCCGATCAGGGCATATTTCAACCTGGGAAGACACGCGAACGCCAAGGTCTCATTGCACAGAACCAACCCAACCAGCAGCTCCGACTTAGAGTGAGGAAGCTGGCAGTCTATTTTACCTACACACAGAGACAGAGAGAGAGACAGACAGACACACAGAGAAAGAGAGAAAGATAGATACGCAGAGACACACAGAGACAAAAATAACAGAGAAAGAGACACAGAGACAGATAGAAACAGACACACAGAGACATGTAGACAGAGACACAGAGAGAGAAAGACACACGGAGACAGAAATACAGAGATAGAAACACAGAGACAGACACAGAGACACAGAGGGAAACACAGAAACAGACAAACTGTGTGAGCAAAAGGGAAACGTGTACAAACTTGGCAAATGTCACATAAACCAACTCTAACCATACACACAGCACTGTAAATTTTTAAAGGGTGTTTGTTATTTCTATAATTAAAAATTAATTTAGGGCGCCTGGGTGGCTCAGTCGTTAAGCGTCTGCCTTCGGCTCGGGTCATGATCCCAGGGCCCTGGGATTGAGCCCCGCATTGGGCTCCCTGCTCTGCAGGGAGCCTGCTTCTCCCTCTCCCACTCCCCCTGCTTGTGTTCCCTCTCTCGCTGTGTCTCTCTCTGTCAAATAAATAAAATAAAATAAAATAAAATAAAAAAATAATTAATCAATTTAAAAATCGTCTTTAGGGGCACCTGGTGGCTCAGTCAGTTGAGCATCCAGCTCTTGGTTTTGGCTCAGGTCATGATCTCAGGGTCGTGGGTGTCTGGCTCTTCGCTCAGTGGGGAGCTGCCTGGGATTTTCTCCCTCTCCCTCTGCCCCTACCCCCGCCCAGACACGCACGCTTTCTAAAAATAAATTTAAAAAAACAAAAAATTGAAAAATTAAAAAATCGTCTCTAAACCTACCACAGTCGCTGGGTGCTGGCCCACACCCTCTCGCTGAGCCTGATGTGGGCTGAGGTGGGTAGCTCTCACACCACGTGGTGGAGAATCCTACCGCGATGTTCGCCGTACCTTCCGCTGTGCGCATGTCTGCCCGCCCATCGGGTCCCTTCCCCAGTGATGTGTGCGCAGCCTGGAGTCCCATCATTTCACCTTTACGAGGCGCAGAGTTTTCAGGCCATCCACACACACTGAGGCCAGAGGGACAGCCGAGCACGGGCCCTGTGTTCGGACCAGAGCGCAGTGCAGATGCGTGTGTGGGGTGTGTGGGGTGCGGGGACACGGAGGTGCGTGTGTGTGTGCAGCATGCACATGGGTGCAGGTGTATGTGTATGCACACGCATGTGGGTGTGTGAGCGATCAGACGTGCACATTACTTTCGGAAGTTACCACTAAGAGGTAACGTCAGCGGCCTCTGGGGAGGAGCATTAATCGGCCTTTCCTGCACACCCTCTTGTACTGTTTGAATTTTACACAACGTCTGCTTTACAGAAAGCACCGCAAACGAGTGAAACACGTTTTGAGAGTGTGGCTGCCGTCGAAGCGAGAGAGCTGCTGAGAGTCGACAGGAAGAGGACATTTGCGACAGACCACCCACCCACACTGAACCCGCCTGCGATCCCTGTCTGTACGGTGGGCCGGGCCAGTGCCGGGACCCCCGACCACAGCAGAGTGTGGTGGTCTCTCCGTTGCCGCCTGGAAACTGTCCCCCCGACAGTCAAGTTTTTAAAGTGGGAAGTGGCGTGTCATGAGGAAAGCTTTTTCCAACACGAAGTGTATGCTCATTAATTAATTTTTTGGTCTGTCGAAAAATGGAGCGATGATGTAGTGACTTTATTCTCTGAGGAAACCTGAGCAGGTCGGAAGGAAGCCAACGGCAAGCAAACGGTCTCCAAGTGACACGCAGCTACTGGTTTGAATTTAAATAGCCTACTTTGAAGAACATTAACTATGATTTTAATGATAAATGAAGTATGTGCCTATTAAGTAAATCGAACAGGCTATTTTGGTCTTTCGACGTGAACCACCTGAAAGAGCGGCCTGGGCAGGCTAAGTTCTACTTGGCACTTATTCACAGGATGGACAGGAAACACCACGTCCTGATCCTCAGCTCACAGCTGCATTTTTAGGCCACCGAGGGCAAAGGTCAGGACACCGTTCTGCCTGGACGTGCAGAAAACGCTGACCTTCCCTCCCAGTGTTCTGAGATTCAGAGTGATTCCCAGCAACCCACCGCTGACACTCTGGGAAATGTGGTAAAGGTTTCAGAGGTCGGGTACTACAAGGGGCATGACCTTGGGGACAGATAATCCCAATGGCAATGGTCACGGCTCAGAGCATCATGACCGCTGGAGACCACAGCCATCCGTGGCCCCAGGGCAACAGTGTCCCTGCGGGGACGCGCCCACCAGGCACAGGACTGACGTCCCCTGCACGGAACAAGGAGCCGGACGGAGCGCTCCATCCCGTTGGCTTGGGGCACGGGAGGCTCTGGATCTGTCTGCCCGTTTGTCCCCACCTGTCCTGAGAAGCTGGGCTTCGGGGAGCCAAAGACACCCCAGGGCCCGCCCCCGGAAGAAGGCTCGCCGATACCTGCGTCCACGCCCGCGGCGTGCACAGGGCTTGAGGGTGCGGGGAGGGCGGCACTCACAGGCCAGGGAGGTGGCGCTGGCCGGCAGCGTGGTGGGGAGGAGGTGCTGGTCCGCCTCAGGTTCCTCGGGCTCCGGCGGGCCGCCCTGCGCGTGATAGGTCACCTGGACCTGCAGGGGTGCAGGTGGGCCCCTGGCCTTGTCAGGGCTGCCTGGGTCCCGCTGCTCCGGGGGCTGCAGAGCCGGCCAGATCCTCTCCCGCCGCCACTGGATCAATGCCACACGGTCGCGGATGGACTTGGCCACAATCTTCACGTCACTCTCGTGGAAGAATCCCGACTCAATCTGCAAAGGGAGGCGTCATGTCATTACTGGGGCCCTGCCGTCTGCACCACCACCTCCCGCTCACGGTGTCTCTGCAGAGGTCCCTCCTCAGGCCCTCACCCCACCTCTAGAGACGCTCTCATCTTCCCATTAGGAAATACCCTCCCGCCAACGGTAAATCTGCAGGGAGCACGGCCCTCTGAGCCTGCACAGCCCCGCTCCTGGGACAGTGAGGACGCGGCAGGTGGTTGGGCCCGCCGGGTGAGGGGAGGGGAGAGACCCTCAGCTGCCTCCCGCAGGCGGGCCCTGGGCATTCCCCGAGAAGGCACGGACGGAACAAGGCGCACCCTGTGTCTTGAGGCCAGGAGGGTAGGCACCCATGCCCAGAAAATTCTGAACCCAGGTGAGCATCAGGAGAGCGTCTGGGAAGGAGCCCTGGACCTCCGGGAAACGTCACGGCTCTCCCTGAGGAAATCCCTGGTAAAACCATGGAACAGCAGAGGCCAGCGTCCACACCGACGCCACAGCAGCCCCGTGTGGGAAGGGAGAAAGCGCCAAGGTCTTGGCACTGGTCAGGAACGGCGAGCTCGTGGCTTTCCACACACATTAGAGAGAAGCGCGCCCAGATGCAGACGTGAGCGTGTGGAAGGGCACGGTGCGAGCCTGCAGAAACCTGGGCAGGCCTGCGGAGGCGCCCGGAGTCTGGCCAGCGCGAGCGGGTGGGGGGAGGAGGACGAGGGGCCTAGACACCTCGCTGGGCCTGAAAGAGAGGCAGACCCAGAGAACTGAGGGGACGTGCAGGAGGACACAGGCGTCCGCACCACGGGCCAGACGTGCACAATCTGGGCATCAAAAGGCACAGCGACCCCACGATGGTTGGAGGAGTGTGTCCCCAAGTGCACACGAGGGGAACGCAGCTATCACTGCTGGTGCGGGGCCACATGGCAGGCCACGGTGTGCCCTGTCCCTCCCACGCGCGGATCACTGTTCACAGGAAGCTGAATCATCAGTGGCCCAGGGAACCACCCACCGGCTGAACATCGAGTCTCCTGCCAGGAGCCAGGTGGGCGGGCATGGCTGCCGAAGGACCCTCAGGCCTGGTCAGCCCCAGCCAACACCCCAGCCATGCGGCGTGGGGAACCCAGAACCAGAAGGACCCACTGAGCCACTCCCGGACCCCGGACCAGGAGGACGCAGGAGACCACAGGCCTGTACGGAACCGCGTCTGAGGGACGTACCCTGTGGCCACTGGTAACTCACCAACAAAACCACAGTCCACAGAGCTACAGGTAAGCGGAGGGTTTGGTGAAGATGGGTGTTTACCCAGCTCCAAGGGACAGCCCGTGACATACGGTCACCCCCCACGCAGACCGTGGGCAGACACCCCTCGACCGTGTGCCCACGGGGAGTGTCGTCCGGGGCTGGCCACGGTGAGGACACGGCCCCACACCACGTGCTCCAACAGACACGCCGACATGACCGCGAAGGAGCTGCGCTGGTGCCCGTCATGGCAGGATAACCAAGACGGTCCCACCCCGAGGAGCTCCTGCCTTGAGGGAGTCACCCCACATCGGGGGGCGCCTGGCAGCCCCGAAGTGGCTCTCCCGGACCTGACCGCGGACGCAGCTGAGCAGGAAAGCTGCTGTCTGTGGGCAAAGACGCGGGCACGTTCGAGGTGGCAGGGCATCGGCCTGGATGTCCTCAGACGGTTCTTTGTTGCACATTTGCAACTTTTCCGTGAGTTCGTGACTGATTGGTTCAAAATCTCTCCACCCCGCTGGACAGAACGAACCGTGTTAAAATCCCGCAGACCTCTGGGCAGTCGGCCTCCCGCCTGCCTCGGGCACGGGCAGCAGCGGTGTGAGCAGCAGCACGTGGTCAGGACGCGGGCGAGGGGCGGGGGCCGAGGTCAGGGCCGCCTGCCCGCCGGGCCCGGCCGGAGACCGCTGACAGGGAGGCGCCCCGCAGACGCGCCTGCCCGCTGCTTCTATTTTCTGCCCGTGGCCTAGTTTTCCTTCCGTCTCTGTCCTCGCGGTCACACCCCCCCGCAATCCTCTCCAAGGTGTTTCTTCTATTTTTTCCCAAACGGGGAGAACTTAGCCCCATTCTCTGCCACGCTGAAGCGTCGGACCCGGAGGCCGCGAAGGCAGGAGGGGCTGGTGCGCAGACACCAGGACCCTGGGCTGGGCTGCGAGCCCCTCTCCCGGGGTCCTCACGAGGTCGCTTCCGGGTCAAAGCCAGCCCAGGCCCCCACAGAACTCGCCCTTCTCTCAGCACCTGGGGCACTCGATGGGTCCCCTGCGCCCGCCCGTGAGCCAGCCGCTGGGAGCTGGTTTTAGGTGACAACATGGGTGTGGGGGTTCACTGGTGCTGGGCCCCGCATTTGGAAGAAGTAGGTGTGATCCATTACAGCTGTTGGTGAGTGACCACCCAGAGCGGCCGGGGGCAGCGAGCCCTGAAACGCTGCCCACGAGGGCTCCTCGGTCGCGCGCCTGGCCCAGAGGCGGCCTGGAGAAGCCCCGGAGAGGGAGGGTCTGACCCAAGGCGGGATCTGGGGCTACAGGCGGGCGGGGCGGCTGGGACCGCCGACAGGAGAGGCTCCCCGCCAGGAGCCGGGAGCAGTGGCCAGGCCCACCAGGGGCGCTCACACCGGGCCGACTCCCCGCCGTGGGAATGGGCCACTGTCGGCTCATCACTGGCTCATCCTCGTCCCCGAGTGGAGGGGGGTCCGCATCGTTCTGCCATCGTTCTTCAACCAAACACAGCGATGCGCGGAAGGCACGGATGCCGCATGGCCAGTAGGACGCTCCTCACGAGAAGGTGCTTTTAAAGATGATGAGGGGAGGTGCTGGGTCCAGGGGTCTCCACTGTGAACTCACGGACACCGCCCGCTGAGTCCAGCCAAGAGCCAGGGGAGCCGCGCTGACGGGGGGCGAGGCGGCAGGCCCAGGTGGGGGCACGGGACCTGCGGGGTCCGGGATGCGGAGGGGTCGCTCAGGAGGATGGGTGGTCCTAGAAAAGGTCCCAGGTCCCATGTGGGCACCACCACATCCTACAGCTCAAGAGCGTGTCAACGGAACCGAGAACGGACCCAGGCTGGAGGAGATGCCTGGTCCAACTGAGGCACAGGAATCCATCTGTGCCGCGGTCTCATCGTCCCCAGGCACTGCCGTGGCACTTGACCCCTGCTGGGCTCTCGCCCGAATCCATCTTGGGCAGGAGGGCTCCCTGGCCGCGTGGAGCAGGCACGGTGCTCACGGGAGACCCGGAGCTGCTGGCCTCCCGTGCTTCCCGAGGCGCCCACACTGGCCCGGCCCCGCCAGCCCTGATGGACACAGTCCTCACCGCCGCCCCAGGGACCCACCTCCCTTCCCCCTGCCACCGGGACAGCGCTAGCTCCTGGCCCGGTCCCCCATTCCCGTGGGCCCCCCAGGACTCTCAGCACTCGCCCTTCGCTCCGGCCTGCACGCCCCCTGGCTCGTGAACGTTTGTGCGTTAAGCCGGGCAGCAGGTGGGAGGGGACCGCCCTGCTGCAGCACGAGGACAACAGCAGCCCTGAATCCCGGGACTGATGCGCTGCTCACCACAGCACAGCTCCCGCTCAGCACCCAGCAGCTCAACAGCCTCTCGGACGTGCAAGCGACACGCCGAGTTGGAGCCACGAAGAGCGGCGCTGTCCCGTGTCTGGGCCCAGGGATGTGGCCGGCAGCTGGGAAGGTGCGGGTGGTCCTGACCTGGGCTCCTGGCCACCGGCGGATGTCCTGCTCGCCACACGTGCAGGACACTCAGCCTGCCAGCCCTGCCCTGATGCACCACGCACGGCAAGATCCTGGGACTCTCACCGCCCGCCGCACCGGGCCTCGGCCCTCAGCCCACACCTGCCGTGGCGCAGCTGGCTGTTCCCTCATCCGAGCAGGGGCTGGAGGACCGGTGTGGACTCTCGTCCCACCCTCCAGGGCCAAGTCCACACCCTCCTCCTCGAAACCCACCAGGGCCAGGGGGTCTCGCCGCGAAGCCCCGTTTCTGAAAGCCGTGCTCCATTCGGTAAGGCCTCCCCTGCAGCGAGCGTGGTTTCACTCGCGCTCGCTTTCTACACGAAAATCAGTGTCCCCTTCCTCACGTGCGCCTTTCCCTCCGAGATGCTGAACACCCTACGCCCCTGCTCCCGGGCACCGCGCCCTCAGCAACAAAGTGAAAGATCAAACCAAAGGCCACATTCACGCGGCCAGCCAGACTCTGGCCAACACAGGCCCTTCCTCAGACACCCGGGCCCCCAAGTCCCTCCGCGCCCCGCTCCTCGGGGCCCCTCGCCGCGCGGCCTCGGGGCAGATGCTTCAGGGCAGCGGGGGCCCCACCTGCGCTGTCCTTCGCCAACACACGCACCCCACGGGCGGGATCCGCGCGCCCCGGACTGCCCGCCCACCGCGGGGCCACACCCCTGTTCTGAGCTCCTGCGCATCTCTGGAGACCACGGCTTTCCAGGCACACCCCTGCCCCCGTGGGTACCCGCCACCGCCCTCCACAAGCAAGTGCCCCGTTACCATCTCCTGCGCCACACCGTCAGGCGTCTCCTTCTCCAGGTCAAAGGTGAACTCTATGGCCCCATTGTCCTTGGGCTTGCCCTTCAGTTTCTTGGGGTCCTCAACCCAGAGCCGCAGGGCGATGGTAGACTTCCTGCCGTGGTCTTCCTCCGCCAGTTCCACCCTCACGCCCGTGTCCTCTGCGAAGAAGGCGTGGCTGAGCAGGTCCTTGATCTCGTACCTGAGAAGGGGCAGCCAACGGGACGGTGAGGGCATGGCTGCTGGCGAGGCCCCAGAGGGCCCGGCTCCCTCTAGAAGGCCCTCTGGCCACGCAGCGGGCAGTGCGGTCCTCGAGGGCAGCGCACAACAGAGCACTCCCAGGGTGAAGGGAGACTGACGCCTGAACACAGCCAGCTGCACGGCACCAAAGGCTGCTTCTCCCTCTCCTTATAAAAGGGCAACGTCCCCATCGCAAGAGGCTCCGGGAAGTGAAGTTTCCAAACCTGGCTCCGCACCCTGCAGACAGGCCTGCCGCAGCGCCATCAAACCCCCAGGGTCACAGGTGAGGCTGAACCGCGGGGCCCTGGGCGTCCCGGCTGCTGGGTGTGGTCACAGTAACCACGCCCCATCCCTAAACAGGAGCTTGTCCGAGTGCCATCCTGGGCCTGGCTTCCTCCCAGCGTCCTGTCTGATCCGGCGGCCCCTCCCCTATTCCTGCGTCCCATGGACAGGCGGAGGAGCCCACGCCCTGTGGACGCTCACCACCCAGGAAAGGGGAGCAGACACATGCCTGAGGGGGCCCCTGGGGAGCAGAGGTCGTGGCCCCTGCTGGTCCTGGTCTGGAAGGTGGTCTTGTGGGGTCTGCTCTGAGGGCTCTTTAGCTCTACATGGTTGTTTCTATACTTCTCTGATGGGAGTTCTACTTCACGATTTCTTAGTTATTTTCTCTGAAAGAATAGAACACGATAACCTGCAGGGGGCAGGAGAGAGAGCCCAAGGATCAGAACAGGGCGCCGGCATGAGAGGTGAGGGCCATGGAAAAGAACACGGATCAAGGGTGAGGACAGGGATAGGATGGCCTTGTGCTGGGTGCACAGGATGAGGAGGGCACACGAGGGGTCAAGGAAGAGGTGTAGGGGGAGGGGGGGAGGGATGGGGGAAGCGATGAGGGAAGGGCAGGGGAAGATGAAGGTGGGAGGAGAGGAAAGGAGAGAGAAGACGAGAGGGAGGGTGGAGGAGTGAGGAATAAGAGGAAGGACAGGGAGGAAGAAGAGGAGGAAGGGAGGAGGGAAGAGTAAGGGGAAGAGGAGGGGGAAGAAAGGAGGGGCAGAGGGGGAGGAGGGAGAGAGGAGGAAGAAGGGGAGGAAGGGGGGGAAGGAGGGAGGGGAGGGAAGGAAGGGAGGAGGGCGAGAGGGGATGGGAGGCTTCCTGGCTGACCAGCTGAGGAGGTGAGGGCTGGTGTGGGGGCAGCTCAAGGGCTCTGACTTGTGGGCTTTGGGTTGAGCATGGATGCATGGACCTCACAGTCTGGAGGTGACAGGAGGGGCAGGCTGAGGGCACGGGGGAGCCCCTGCTGCAGCCTGGGTGGGTGAGAAGCCCCTGGCAGAGCGGGGAGGCTCCTGGATGGCCCCCAGACCAGGGAGCATGCTCTGGGCAGCAGAGGTGGGACCTGGCCTGAAGCAGCCCATCTCCCATGAGTGTGGGCAGTTGCGGGGATTTCAGCATGAGCGACACCCAGACCCAGCGCCCCACCGGACTCACCTTTCCTCCTTGTTTTTGCAGATGCACTCCCCAATAATCTCTTTGATTTCGGGATCATGCACTTTCTCAAAGCTGGCAGGCTTGATGCCCTGCGAGACCAGAGGAGCAGAGTCAGGGACAGGACAGGACTTGTTTTCCGCTCAGCTACACCAGCCAGGCAGGGGGACGGCAGGAGGGGCGCAAACTGGCTGGGGACGCGGCTCACGCTGAGTGCGGAGGGGCTGTCGGGAGCAGCGGGGTCTGGGGGAGAGCCCAACCCAGCCCCCCGCCCCCGACAGGAGCGTTCCCACACCCAGCAGAGATACGGCAGGCGGCCAGGGCGACCACCTTCCTCACCACACCCTCCCGCCCGGTGTGGTCACCACTGCTGGCCGAGGCCACCAGACACTCTGCCCCACTGCGACCACGGGCAGGAATGCCTTCCAAGGCCTGGTGGCTCCAGGGTTTTGTAAACATCTGTGCCGTGGAGTCCCACAGCCGGGTGGTTTTGGGAGCATCCACACTGACCACAGACCCGGTGGGTGCCGGCAGGGCTGGCCGCAGCTTGGCCAGGGATGGCCAGGACGCGGGGGAGCAGAACCCTGGGGTGCAGCCCTGCAGACAGTGGGGACTCGGGAGAAGCAGGGGCTGGACTGCAGGGGCAGGGGCTTGGGGGAGGGACAACGGATTCTTAAACACATGGAGGACCTCAACCATCCCATTCTTCAGCAAGACTCTGCCTTCAAAGTCTATCTTGGCTGTTCTAACGTAGAGAACATGAGCGGGAGTGCAGGGCGGCCTCCAGCCCAGAGTTGGACCCAGGAGTGTAGGACCCGCAGGGCTGCCGCCCGGCAGGCTGCTATACCCCAGGCCCCAGGCCCACTACCAGTGGGGGCCGTGTGCACACGCTCAGCAGAGTCTGCAGCGACAGACTGGGGCACTGGGCTCCAGGCGCGGCCAAGGGACTCCCCTCAGAGGTGAGAACCCCAGGCCATACCACTGAAGCCAACAGAAAAAGAGGTTTAATTACACAGGAGGAAGGGCCAGGGTCCCGGCGGGAGGCAGGCGGCCTGAGAAACTCTAAGTGCACATAAGTGTGGGCCACACACATCTCTGAAGGGCCGAGGCCCCCAGAGTAGGAGAAGAACATGCAAGAGGAACAGATACTGCTTTGAAGGGGCTCGTGTCCCCAGACTCAGAAGCATGGAGTCGGGGTGCTGGGAGCGGGGACACCGAATCCCTGCAGGACTGGGGATCAGGGCCGACGCCGGGGCTGGAAGGTGTGGGTGTGTGTGCCGCGAGGGGCCAGCGGGCCCACAGGGCATTACTGCCAACCACGCCAGCCGTCCGGAACACCCCTCCCGTCTGGTTTCCTCGGGGAGCAAGGGTGGGACCTGACCTTGCTTTGCCCAAGCTGACATGGGTCCACACAGGAGCCCTGCTTCCTGGGGCCTCAAAGAGGGATCCAGGGTGGCTGAGGAACACCCCAGTGGGAATCAGTCCTATCTCCCCAGCCCAGCGGATGGACCACAGCCCCGTCCACGTGGGCACCCAAGAAGTAGGGCTGGTGTGCTGCTCCCCCGCACCCCTCCAAGGCCTGGGAGTGAGGCCTTAGCCTCAGGTGACCCCTGCCCCATGGAGGGCCACTGCCCACAGCCAACAAGCCCACCCTCTCCTGCCAGCATTAGCAGGGAGCTGCACGCCTCCCTCTGTCTCTGACAAGCACCAGCCAAAAACTCTGCCATCCCCTTCAGCGGCACACAGGAGGGGCTCAAATAACTGAATTAAGACTGAAGGAGAGACATGAGCTAAGACCTGTGGGGGAGCGCAGGGTGGAGGGTGGGGCGCAGGCAGGTGCCCCGGGCAGCCAAGGACCACGCTCCTCGTGCATCTGCAGAAGTGAGGGGGGCGCCAGGCTGAGGCGAGGCAGCCAGGACTCAGGGGCCGTGGGGCCTGGTGCCCAGAAAAGCTACGGCCTCACCAAGCAGGACGGCCGCGGAGGGAGGACAGGGTGATCGGCTTGCAGAGCTGAAGCCACTTGATTAAAGCGGACGACTGCGTGGGCACACGCCAGGACACGGGAAAGCCAGCGGCCCCGGGAGCGGCCCAGAGGAGGGTCTCTAGGGACAGGCGGCCGGGCGCCTCCCGGAGAGGCCTTGAGTCGTGCACGAGGCCCACCGCGGCCAGGCCTGTCCACCGCCAGCTCAGAGACCCGAGCAGCCACCCCGCTGAGGCAGCCTCAGTTTCCCCTCTGTGACAGCACCCTTCCCTTCCTCACACGGTGCTGTGAGCGCTTCACCACGCACGGCCCCTCGCGGTGGCCAGTGGACTCACACAGGTGACCTTCCGGTAGATCTGGGCGGCGTTCTGGCACTCGGAATAGGGGTACTCGGAGGTCGCCATCTCCAGCATGCACATCCCAAAGGCGTAGACGTCCACGGACTCGTCGTAATGCTCCTCGTACATCTCAGGCGCCATGAACTCAGGGGTACCTGTGTCCGGAAGCAAGGGACGCGGGGTCAGCAGCCACTGGGCCGGGAGCCCCTCCCCATCAGGCCCGGAACCTGCAGTTCTAACAGGACTGCTCTGCAGACAGTTCCCGAAACGCCCCCCGGACCCTCCTGATCCTAGGTCACATCAGCTCACGGCACCAGGGGCCCCCCCAGCTCCAAGCCCGCTACCCCAGAGCCAGGGCACGCTCTGTGCCCCGGACACGGGAGGCGCCGCACGCCGAGCAGCACACCCCTCCCGGCCACAGGCCCGACCACCCGCGGCAGACAGACACGCACAGTCCCCGCAGAGCGACCGAAGTCGAAAAATCCCGCAAAGGCCCCAGATGTCCCCAGACAGACACCACATGGCAGCGTGTCAGGCGGCACAGAAAGGAGCGTCTCTGCTGATGGTGCCGGCCAGGTGCCCGCAAGGTGTTCCCAGCACCAGCGGTTCCAAAATGACGCCTCCTCCGAGTCTCACACGTGGAGTGAAACAAAGTATTCGGCTGTTCGTGCACTATGACCTCTCCACAAAACAGCAAGCACAGACCCAAGAGGACACGTCAAGGAGGCAGGGTTCCGGCTGATTTTTCCTTTAGTTACACTGGTCTGGGGATTTTTATTTTTCCGTAACAAGCTTCTGCTCTAAAAATCACAAAATCCTCCTATTAAAACAGGTCCAACCGAGTGCCTGTCCAGCCGAACTCAAAGCAGAGGGAAACGTCGGGAACGTCTCCACCTTCTCCGCTTCCTCCACCCCAACCCTTTCAAAATGTTCCCGTTTCTTTAAAAAGCAGGTGCAGAACAGCGCGGGCTGTGTTCAAAAGCACGTGTGGGGTCATCAAATGTTTTCATGGCTCTCTGGGACGCAGAGAGGTAACAGTACACTTCAACTTGTTCTCGTGCACCCACAGTTTTAATGTAACACGTATTATACACTTAACGAAACAAGTGGACATTTCGGGTAAGAAATGGCAAAATCGAGAATCTATCTTCAGGTTTATGTGTGTGTATAAAGAATTCTAGAAGATTCTGGGGGCGTCTGGGGGGCTCAGTCTGTTGAGCATCTGCCTTCGGCTCAGGTCATGATCCCAGGGTCCTGGGATCGAGCCCCGCGTCGGGCTCCCTGCTCGGCGGGAAGCCTGCTTCTCCCTCTGCCTTTGCCCCCGGCTCATGCTCGCTCTCTCTCAAATAAATAAAATCTTAAAAAAAAAAAAATTCCAGGAGATTCCAAATCAGATATAATGGGAACAGGGTGGGGGAGAGAGCAGGAGTCTGAGGGACCTTGCACTGGGAATATCTCCATCTTTTTGGGGTTCTGAACCGCGTGACTGCTGACAATGATTTGCACTTGGCTGTGGGCATCCACAGGGGAAGAGGGAGGCTGGCTGAGCTGCCCCAAAGCCCCACACAGCCTGCCTTTCGAGGGACGGGGCACGGGAGTTGGGGGTGCAGGGAAGGGGGCCAGCTCCGAGCGGGGTTGGGGATGCCCACACGCGCTTGGGCCACGGACACAAACTTTTCTCTCTTTCCTCACTCTGCAGCCACCTAAATCTGAGTGTTAAAAAGAACATGTGTGTGCTCACACACCCACACACGTGTGTGCCCGGGGCACCTCCCTGGCCCCCTGGCCCCAGTGCAGGTGTCCTGGCCACCACGGCCATGAGCGCCTGCAGGCAGCAGCAGCTGAGGACCTGGCCAACGCAGACACGGGGAGAGGGTGGGGATGCTGTCAGAGACAGGTGGCTCTCAGGGACGAACCCCACAAGGGGCCTGCAACCCACAGCTGTGTGTGCACACGGCATCAAGGGGCTGTGGCCACAGGGCTTATGGTGAGGACACCTTCTCACCCAATCCATCCCCCTCCTTCCCGTCGGCCGACACAGAGCCCCCAGGCCTGGTGCCACAGGGCTCCCCCAAAGCAGGTGGAGAGGTCCTCGGACACCGCCACCCAACGTCCAACGTCCAACATGGGCCACACCTGAAGTACAAACCCAAACACGGGCCAAACCCCCGACAGCTTCGCCCAGAAGTGGGTCCTCGGCATCAACTGTCCCTTCACGTACCCTGGACACAGCACAGAGCAGGGAGCCTGACTCACAGGCTTGCGGGACCCTCCCCCCACCTGACCGAAGGCCCCCCACCCAGCTGCTGGCCCTCTGCTGTCCAGGGCCCAGGGAGATGTGGTAATCGCCTCTCATTCTCCATGAGTTTGGAGCTTCCCCCAGCTGAGCAAAAGCTGAGGTGACCAGGGACCCCACAGAGCTGGGCCCTCTGTGCTGGGCTTGGGGCTGATGCACCTGCTGGAAACGCCCAGCCTTCACATCACTCCATCAGACCACCCAGCCTGTGTCCGGTACCCTGATACCCCACTTCCAAGAGGGACAGAGCCACCAGCCAGAGAAAGCCCAGGGAGCTTCACCAGGTACCCCACCCCCAAGGTCAGACCTACGAATCCTGCTCGGAAACTGCCAGGTGATCAGAGACGTGCTCCCTCCAGCCAGGCCCCTGCCCATTTCACGGAGAGAGAAACCGAGGCCTAGGTCGGCCCCCGCCCCAGCACTCAACTCCCCAGAGCTACCAGAGGCCCCTGTTCACAGGGCACCCCTGGTGACCACCCTGCCCCAGATGTCACGTTCCAAACCCACTAACCCCACCAGAGAAGTTTCCAGATTCCCAGCGGTTTCATCTGCCACAAGTTCTGTCCCCAAACGTGCATCAAAACCATGGGCTTGCAAAACCGACATCACCCTCTCGTCCTGCTTGTGTCCCCACACAGGGCTTCAGTGGGCACAGGAGCCTCTCCAGGTCCCACCCGACCCCAGCTGATCCGATCAGGATTTCTGGAGCTACACCCCGGAGTGGGCTGGCCCTGCAGCAGGCTGGCGCTCCCCAGACGTCTCGAACCCCATCAAGAGCCGCCCCAAAGCCCTTGCAAGCGCTCTCTCTGCAAAGCCCTGGAGAGGTGCCACCTAGCGCCCGCCGTGTGCTGGGACCCCAGCGCAGGCCCAGTCCCTGTGTGGCAGCTGAGGACGGGGGCCTCACCCAGAAGGGCCACAGTGGCTTCTCAGAGGAGAACGAGAAACACGGAAGAAAAGGCTGGCAAACCAGCACCCACACCAAATCCCCCACGCTGGCTCTGGGCCCCACACCCCCCAGGGACTCCCTGCAGTGGGCCTCAGGGCCTGGAGCACCCGCCTCTCTGCCTGCTCCAGACTCACTGGCCACAAAGCCCGAGTCCCTGTCATCGAGGCCTCCTTCCCGCTGAGTGTCGACCGCCCGGGGGCCCCAGCGGCCTCACCCCCCGACCACACAGCCAGGGACCCCCAGGCAGGGCCCCGGGGCAAGGGCTTACCGATCACACTCTTGGCGAAGGACGCTCTCTTGAGAGTGGCCAGGCCCAAGTCGCCGATCTTCACGGAGCCGGTGGGCCCTGTGATGAAGATGTTGTCGCACTTGAGGTCCCGGTGGATGATGGGGGGCGTCCTGGTGTGCAGGAAGAGCAACCCCTTCAGGATCTGCCGGCACCAGCTGCGGAGCACCTTGGGCTTCATCACCTTGAACCGCTTCAGGTACCTGCAGGGGGGGCGCAGCTCACCAGCGGCTCCCGTCGCCGGGGGGCCGTGGAGTCACCACCCGGACGGGGACATTCCTGAGACAGGCCCTGGCAGACGGGAGGCCCGGCGTCCCCGCCTCCGCGGCCCCTGCGCCCGCACCCGGCCCGCCCCAGGGTCCAGCCAGCGGGCGGGGGCGTGCTCACGTCTTCAGCGTCCCCGAGGTCATCAGCTCGGTCACCAGCACAATGCACCTCTTGCCCCTGGCGCTGGACTCCCAGAAGTCATAGAAGCGCACGATGTTGGGGTGCTGCAGGCCCTTGAGCATCTCGGCCTCCTCCTTGAACCGCTGCCTCTCCAGCTTGGTGAGCTTCCGGTCCTGGAGAGAGACACAGGCTGAGGGGCAGCGGCCACCTCAGCAGACACCCTCCACGGAGCCCGGGGGCCCAGGAGGGAACCCACCGGCCGCCCCGCGGCTCCATGTGTGAGGACGCCGCAGAGGGAGAGGGCCAGGCGCCGGGGCCGCATGGCCCAGTCCCTCTGCGGCGTCCTCCCACACCCGACCCCAAAGCCTCGTGGCCCTGGATGAGCCCCTGCACAGGACCTCAGCAGAAAGAGACAGCAGAAAACCCACACGGCAGCACTCACACGCTCTCCCCGAGAAAACACCTCCAAGGCCTCATGTCCTCAACACCCGTTTTGCATGCCGTCACAAGAAAGACACTGGTTCGGTTCCAGTTTACACGCAACTCCGAGGACACGTTCACGACCAGAGCAGACAGACGGGAACCGGAAAACCAGGGCCCCCACCGGGCCCTGTGGTGCTGGAGGGCACGGCAGACACGCCTCCTGGGTCTGCGCTGACCCCGACCGCAAGTTCACACAGGACACAGCAGCACCACCATCGGGGGCTGGGAGTCCCTGCGGGGGCCGCCCACACGAGGCTCCAGCCACGCCCCACGAGGAGACCGCCAACACCCTCCCCACCCTCGAACCCACCCTCAGTGCCCTCCCTGCGCGCCCCGCCCCCACCTGCCACCACCCAGCCCTACCTGTCGGGCTGCACCTGCAGCCTGCGTGGCCCTTCCAGACACCCTCCAGTGGGCTCTCACCACAGAGCGCTCGGAACCACCCCAGAGCTCTGTCGTTTCCAGCCTCGTCCCACAGGGGGCCGCACCTCTGCAGGCCCCAGGGTGGCCGCCTCCCCGCACCTGCGCCTCCCACCAGCCCTGCCCCCCGCAGAGCAAGGAGACACCAGGAGAACCATCGCACGGCTGACCCCAGAAAAACACAGAATTCGGGGACAGAGGCAACTTCAATCTAGTTCATGTGCTCACGGGGATCGAGGAGGCTGACACACATTAAGTAAGAGCAAGATTCTACTTAAAAAGGAACAATCAAGGGGCACCTGGGTGGTTCAGTCGGCTGAGCGTCCGACTCTTGATTTCGGCTCAGGTCATGATCTCAGGGTCCTGAGAATGTCAGGCTCTGCGCTCAGTGGAGAGTCTGCTGGAGATTCTCTCCCCTGCCCCTCCCCCCATTTGTGCTCTAAATAAATAATAAATAAATAAATAAATAAATATCTTTTTTTAAAAAAAGGAACAATCAAGAAAGTGCTCTTGGGGCACCTGGGTGGCTCAGTCAGTTAAGCGGCTGCCTTCGGCTCAGGTCATGATCCCAGGGTGCTGGGATCGAGCCCCGCATTGGGCTCCCTGCTCAGCCAGGAGCCTGCTTCTCCCTCTTCCACTCCCCCTGCTTGTGTTCCCTCTCTCCTGTGTCTCTGTCAAATAAATAAAATCTTAAAAAAAAAAAAAAAAAAAGTGCTCTTGCAAATTAAGCCTCCAGTTTCAAAATAAGATATTTTGCAATTGAGTGAAACATTACATACAAAAACATCAACATTTGATCCAGACACCGACATGGAAACATGCTCCACTCAGCAAAAATTATGGCTTATTTAAGAAAAGTCAAGCCACAGGGGCGCCCGGGTGGCTCAGTCGTTAAGCGTCTGCCTTCGGCTCAGGTCATGATCCCAGGGTCCTGGGATCGAGTCCTGCATCGGGCTCCCTTCTCAGCGGGAAGCCTGCTTCTCCCTCTCCCACTCCCCCTGCTTGTGTTCCCTCTCTCACTGTTACTCTCTGTCAAATGGATAAATAAAATCTTAAAAAAAAAAAAAAGCCACAGACTGGAGAAACTATTCTCAATAATGTATCTGACAAGGGACTTCATCCAGAACACAGAACTACAATTCCATAATAAAAAAAGGCATGAACAGGTAAGATGGAGAAACGGCCAACAAGCATGTGACAAGGTGCTCGCCATCCTGAGTCACTAGGAAAATGCCAATTCCAGCCTGGAGATGCCACCTGATGCCCAGCAGCAGGTCAAAGTAAAAGGAGGCTGGTTCCAACCGCTGGGTGGCCGGGAGCAGCCGGGGCTCCAGACACATGGCTGCCGGACACGCAAGGGGACACCAGCAGGGTCCACACCTGCTCCAGGCCCAGCCTCTGCCCTCCAGGTACCCACGCAGGATGGCACATGAACAGCTCTGCTCAGAATGATGTGGGAACAAAGGCAGAAGAGAAATTACTAAATTTCTTTACTCCCTACAGCCCATTGACAAGTCCTTGAAACAGGCAGAGTGACCTTCCTCTAGAGACTCAACTGCCTCAATATTAATACTTTGCTAAGGGCAAAAGGCAATCCTAGCCTGAGCCCCCTCCACCCCGCCCCCAAGAATTCCTTTGGAAACTTCCTTTATCTCTTACCCCCAAGATACGTGTTGGCAATCATCCCCCAAGCATACGGCCCACTGATATACATCTGAAAGGGTCTCATGACTCAGGTTTTATTAGACAGTAATAAATGACATTTTCCCAACAATAGCTAGCCCCTTCAAGGTCCTGGAAACCTCGCTTCCAAAATTCCGTAGACACTTATGTTATCCCTAACCCCCTCCCAACTTGAAAGTATCTAATGGGCCACTCCTCCTGACCCCACTACAGTTCTTTCTGCCCACGGGTCCTGTCCCTGTGCTTTAATAAAACCACCTTTTTGCACCAAAGACATCTCAAGAATTCTTTCTTGGCCGTCGACTTCAAACCCTAATAACGTCTTTCCTACATCAAGAACAGCACCAAACTCCTGGAAAAGCAGAGCTGACATGTGGCTGAGGCGGAGGATGCTCACCTCTGGGGCTGGACTGGGGCGGGGGGAGGATGCAGGAGCTGGGAACGGGGTTGGGGGGGGCAGCGAGAACTTGTACGTCCTCATAGAGGATGCGGGTCACACAAGTGTGCACAGCTCACCCACTCGGACACTTAGGATCTGAATCTCATATGTAAGTAATAGCTCAGTTTTTTAAGCATCAAAAATTAAAGTGAAAACATCCAGTAACTGAATCAGAACAACAGAAGAGATGTGAACAAAGCAGCAACAGCGGGAAGCCGGCACCGGGGAGGAGGAGACAGCAGAACGGCATCTCCCGAGCTGGACGGTGAGCCGACGGTGAGCCGCTCCGCTCCGCTCCGGTGAGGGTGTGTGGCAGCCAGGCCAGGCCCTCCCAGCGAAATGCAGACGCCCGAGGACAGAGGGCAAGTCCCACCTGAGGAGCACCCAGCCAAACGGACATCAAACCACGCAGCCCGCGACATATTCTCTCCCACGTGACAACCAAAGCTTCCTTCTGGCACCCCTGGTCCAGCCGCACTGCAAGCGTGCCCACAAATCCCAACACAACCCAGCGGAAGGGGTTGCGGCAAAGCTGGCCGCCAGGCCCAGCCACGTGGGGGAGGAGGGCCGGGCGCCGGGGTGCTCCCCACCCCCACAGGCTTCTGCATCGAGCATCACAGACTCCCTTCCAACCAACCACCGTCTGGAGGAAACTCAGAATGCTTTACATGCCGCATTTCGGCATCACTCGGCAGAAGGGAGAGACTTCACTGGACTTTCAGAGAAAAGTGTGTGTCATAAACATCATAACTAACAAGCCCCAAGGCCCCAGAGGGAGAGGAGGGTGCCCCGCGGATGCCAAAGGGGATAAATCCAAGACTCAGCGGGAACACGGTCAGACTTCCAGGATGGTGCCTCTCGGGCTGGGCTGGGCCTGGTCGTGGGAGGCGGGAGGGAGCAGACCTCATTTACATTCTAAGCCACCTGGCTATTTTTAACTACGCGACACACTGCTTGATAATTTAAAAGGTCAGCTAGCATGTCATCAGAGCGCTGCCCAGTGCCCCTCACAGAGCTGGCCCCGGTCCTGGTCACTGTGTGCTGATGGCTGGTCAGCCCCATCAGATCAGCAACACCACAGCGGGAGTTTCACTCTTTGTGGACGAAGTCCGAACTGATGCACTGGGACGCCTCGAGGTCATGAGCCAGGGCAGGAGGGAATACCCCCAGTCCTGCCGGAGTCAGGCTGTTCCTGCATGGGGTGGGGTCCGGCTGGACGGGTCACCCCACCAGACACACAGGAGAGGTCCCACCCACCAGGTGCCCCAAAGATAGTGGGAGCCCATCAGATAGAGGATAAAAGCCTTCTGGCGTAATGCTGTCTCCTCTCCTGTAGGAAAAGGGCCTAGCCGGTCAGGGGCAGCACCCTCCGAGCAGGGGCACGCAGCCCGGTGGTCAGAGCCCTGGGTCCGACGGGCCTCTCCCACACAACCCGGGGTCCAGCAGCTCTGCCCAAACAGAGGCGACAGGTGAAGTCCTCTAACCCAGCGGGCCCCCGGCTGCCTCTGGGGCTTCTGCAGCCCTCTCCTCAGCCAGGCAAAGCCCAACCAACCCTGTGAGGAGCAGAGCTGCCCGGCCCCCCGAGCCCACGTAGGCGAAGGCGAAGGCGGGGTCCACACACAGAGGACAGAGAGGGGGCATGAGCAGCTAAAAGGATGGTGCCCAGACTCAGCAAAGCCGGAGTCCTGGGGCGACGAGCGGGCATGCGCCCTCTCTCCAGCCCATCTGGTCGTAAATCAAAGCAAAAGAAAGCCTGAGGACCTCTGCTGAGAACTGTCCCAAGTCAGGGAATCGGCCCAGGACGGGGGCTCCAGGAACGGCTGACCCAGGATGAGGGTCTCTGTAATCCCTAGCCCCCACACCCCGTGCGAGGGCCCCTCCCAGGCCTGGGGGCCGTGCCGCAGGCTCCCCGGGCTGCTGCGTTCTTCACCCAAAGCGGGGAGGTGGTGCGGGGTCTGGGGCATCCTTGGGGTGGTGACCGCATGCAGGGAGCACGGGCGTCTGCCTCACTCGGTCACCAGATGGTCACTGAGGCTCTGGGTGCGCAGGAAGGACTGGGGGGTGGTGTACAAACACACAATCACACCATCTGAAAACCAGGGTGAAGGGACAGGCGGGCGGCGCTGGCCACCCCCCACCGGGGGCCGT